TCCCTAGTCGCCTAGTTTCTCCCTAGTCCGCGAACTTTGACACGAACTAGATTGCTTAACGTTGTATGCAGTCCACAACTTCTTTTATAACGAACAAGCTCTTGGTGCGATTGGCAGGGACGAGGGTAGTGATTGCAGACTGCGCTGCGCGGTACCGGTCATACTTTGCAGGAGTAGATAAGTATTGATTGTGCAATTGTGAGATTTCGTCGTTCATATACATCAGCTCCACACTCGAACTGCAAAGTATTGCCTAACCCTGCAAACGGTGTTCGTATAAGGAAAGTGAAAAAGGGTTCATAACTCGATGAGAAGTCTGCACACTTGTTCAAAACATCCGTCGTTTAAGCTAGAGCCCAGATCAGTAAACTGGAACGTCAGTCATCTAACCACAAGTGACGATAGAGCCGGATTAGTTGGATGGGGCTTACGAATGCTCGGGGTCACAAAACCTGTTTCGACTCTTATGTGATGGACATTCTGAGACATTCGGCGCCGGAGTCACTTAGTTTGCTGGGTTGTATGACAGGAATTATCAAGTTTTAGTAGGCTATAGGGATAAAATATGTTGAACGTGATTCATTGCTAATAGTTGAGATTGTTGATTCTTATATCTTGTTGGTTTATCCTAGAATGGATTGCCTGTTTGTCCCACTCTTATTTGCTTCTTGAGGTCAACAGTTACTCGCGCACAGACGCCGTTGCTGGTGAATGTTTTACGGCAGCATATTCATTTCATGAACCATGTTTCCGTGGGAAAATCTTCTGATGTCGTCGGTGTAGAAGGCTGTTATGTAACTTTTTGATAGATTAGAATGTGCTCTTCAATATTCAGTTGGGCTCATTTGGTTTGGTTTCGCAACATGTAATTAATTCCGTTTGAATGTGGAGGGAAGTGACTTTTTTTGCCCACCCCCTCCCCCCGTCCTGTTTTTTCCCAGTTCATATCATAACGAAGGTTTACCCTCAGCAATCCCCGACATTGTACAATGTACATTCCCCATACGCTCATCTCAGAACAAATTCTGCTCATCAGAAAAATCGTAATCAGAAAACTCAAATCGAGACCTTGTACCGCATTTGAAGTTGCTTATGAATGAGCTTCTTTTTGGTGGTTTCCACTCTTCCGCACATCCACGGAGGATTCAGCGAAAGGGAGAATGTACCCAATAAAGGTGACAAATAGACCAGTGAAAGCAGGGCAGGTTGAGGCAGGGAGGGATATCATATTAGATGAGAGATTCCACAACTTGCGCTAGACGGCGTAGGACCGCGGTCATGTTTTGCGACCGTCTTGCATTTCGTTTTGCAATTGAAGTGTGTCAGCCGTCGATGTGTGGTCTCATGGTTAATAGGTATTCACTCCCAAAAAAATCGCAGAATCCTGAGGTTACAAGCAATTACCGATGGACGGCCTAGCTCCGCAGCAAAACGGGCGGCAGAGGACATCGAGGGAGCAGTGAAGAGACGAGGAATATCTCGCTCCGCGCTCAAAATTTCGATCCTGCAGTCTCCCCGCCTTGAACCCCTCTAGGGGCCTGAACTCCGTGCATGCAGGACACGCATGCGGTCAGCGTCACCGGGTACCCCCCAGGAGGCCCGTCGCGCGGCAAGAAGGCAGAGTCGGCGGACGAGTTGCAGCGCGTGGTGTGCGATGTAGGACGTGCAGTGGGACACTCTATTTAACTTGACGCGAAATCCCTATAGTACGCGCGCGACTCGTCCGCTGACTTTGCCTTCTTGCCGCGCGACGGGCCTCCTGGGTAGTACCCAGCGTCACCCATCACGCTGTGAGAACGCCGATGCTTGGACTCACCCGATACACGCAAAAGCAGATACAATTCGGTATTTCGAACCCATTCACTGTCGAATATCAGGGACGCTGCCGTTTTCGCCAAGGAATCGAAGATAAGGTGGGCCGGACACGTCATGCGATTTTGCGATGACCGTTGGACCAGAGCGGTTACCGACTGGATCCCTCGGGACGTCAAACGAACACCTGGACGACCGCCAACATTGATGACCAGACTTCCTTCACGATAGCTCTGAGCGGATTGAATGGAAGACTCTTATGTTCGCTCGTCGAGCGAGGGAGATCCCTTTAGACTCGATTGCGCGACAGAAGACGTGAAGACGTTGCTGGCGCCCACTCGAGCAAAACGATGATCAGCGAGACGGCAGGTGACACGTGTACTTTAATGGCAACCATTCCTAAGATGATTCGGGATTTTCCACATTCCGCTTGTATGGCTATACGTGATGATTTGTGGAGCGAACAAAAACCACTAACTGTAACCAAAGATCTTAAAAAAGTCAGGCGCTGTAGACACTTGGGAAATTTCTAGAACGTTTTGGCTTAATTCGCCTGTCCTACCGTGGCTATCATGCTATTTAGTGGTACATACTAGCGAAACGCCCGAGCATGATCAATGTTATTGTGTTGATTTGAGCTTTCTCATTATTCCCCATTATAGATGACGCATCCTTTTTGTCGAGGTCAGAATCTGATTTCTCGTATGGAGAGGAAGTTTTACCGAGCTCTGCGAGGAGGGTCTTACCTCAACGATGCGCTAAGGTTGCCAATTTCTCAATAATTTGCCTTCTTCATTATGCTATAGATACACTGTTCAGGTTGAATCAAGTGGAACCAGTCTGATCCAACCGAAGAGGCCAAACGGGCTCACTTCGGGTACGCAAATTTTCATCGTTTATTATCGATATGTCCATCTTTCATTTGGAAATGTAGCCATTTGAAGGTGCCACTTATAATGAAAGATGTCTCAATGAACTTGAGGATTTTGATGCTGTATTGAGGGACAGCCCTGAAGGCGATGTTTCAAGCCCACCTGTAAACACTTCCGAACAAGTAAGCCTATTCAGCGTCTATTTTGTTATTTTACTACTCCACCTCTTACAACGAATTATTCATTTTGTTTGCCTTGAATTGTTCTTTCGCCGTAAACGTTTGGTTCGACTTTGCTATTGATCCGTCGGTGTGATTGGGTGTCGGCTAGCCGACGTTAGAGCCAAGGATGCTTTAGGTAATGTTCCCTAATATGCAATGCGGGTGTGCTCTCTCATGCGTCATAAATTATTTTTGAATTAATTCCCTTCTTTCGCATAGCCTGTGCAATTATTTTTGCTTAACTGCATTTCCTCCTCTTCATTGGCTCATCATATTCTGCAAGGAAATGGTGCCCATTCTGGAGCAGAAGTATTCCATGAATGAGCACGAAATTGATGAAAATATGACGTTTAGAAAAGCCGGAGAGAAAAGCCCTCTAAAGTAGCAGTTAGCCATTCGAGTGACTCGGGTAGCAGTTCAGATGACAACTTTGACAACTGTTAGTTATACTTTTACATTGACATATTTCCTTTGAAAAGTTCCGATAATGATTCTTCATTAATAGATCTAAAGAAACTCCGTGAGAGTGATACCACTAAGAAGAAGGATCCGGATCGCATATGTAAGGGCCATAATGACAGCAGGTTTGGTATTCGTAACTTCTGATGTTTTCTTTCAGCAGTATTGTACTGTTTTCATCGCTCGGTGGAAAGGGCCCCAAGTCGCCATGGCTATTCAAGAAGAGATGCATACCCCTAGATGTGCACTGAACGCTGATCTCAAATCTACCTTCCAAATCTGCTAAACGATTCTCTGAACGGAGTTATGAAGCAAAACAGCGCAACGGTAGTGGTCGGGACTCACAGTCAAAACGTCGATCAGTCCTTATCGTGTTTACTGATTTCCATTCTTACAAGGGAAGGATACCAGGTCGAAGTGGCCATTTGTAACGAGACATACACCACTAGATGTGTTTTTGGACGCTGATCTCGAATCTGCTCTCCAAATCTGCGAAACGATTCTCTGAACGTAGTTATGAAGCGAGATAGTGCAGTGGCAGCGGCCCGGGCCGACGAACAAGAGGTCGTGAGATCGAGTTCTTGGCGAGTTCTCACTTTTGCTTTTCTTGAGAACGTTGTTTAAGGACTCTTATCCATGCTAAGTTATCAGCGATTGCCTATAGCACAAGTAAACAGAGCTGGCGAAGAGCTTCGAGCACTGTGCGCGTCATTTGCAAGTGACCGCCTCTGACACCCGTAGCGCACGCGTAAGGCAATTTCGTGCCAAGCAGATGCGATATTCGTGT